AATATATATTTCATATAGTATATTTTTTGTAATATATCGAAATAAAGAATTGATCGCTTGTATGCAAATAATGGAAACAATATAAATTATAAAATATAAAAAAATTTTTAGTAACACGTCAGTGGGCCTAATAAGAAAGTGCTAATGAAGTAATTTGTTTCTGTCGTCGTCGACTAGCAAATTAGTTAAGTTAAACTTTGCAAGCTTAACTTTACAAGCTAGTAGTATTGTACCATCTGCTAGTTTTCTCACAAAAGCGCTGTGGATGGCAATTAAATAGTTTTAGCAATTAGCGGACAGTTCTCAGATTTCTCTTCTTAAAGATTCTGCTTACTGAGTTGTATCGTAGTGCAACGTTTGCTGTGCAAACAGAAGAGCGTACATAGAAAATGAAATGTAGAAGACATCATTTCAATCTTTCTAAAAATGAATAAACATTACATATAATGTTTTTCTTTTATAGAGAGAGAGAGAGAGAGAGAGAGAGGGTGCAATTGCAATAACTTTTATTTCAAACTTTTATTTACTTCACAAAATAAATCAACATCGTTAAAACTGTTTACACGTATTATTAAATTTTTTCCACAATAACGCACAAGCACGATATTCCAAAAGGTATTAGAATAGATACTGCAACATGCTGGTACTGAGATATAGATATAGCGGAGAAGAAGCTGGAACAGCTCCGTGGAAGAGCTTCTTAAATATCCAAGCGCGAGTCGAAAGGGACAACAACGACAACCGTATCCTCTCTCGACGTGGTCTCACGAGACCCACCGACTCCAGTAGTAGGTGTCCCGTTTACGGGCCGCGTTAATTATAAATTCGACCCGAGTCTCTCGCTTACCGTCTCGCGTCGCATCGCGTCGCGTTTCCAAGTAAACGGTCAGTCCGCCACGGTCCGCCCGGAGTAGTCCTCGCCGCAGAATCGCCCTGGGAATCGTGAGATTCCATCAAATATTCATTCGAGAGAATCCGACTGTGACTAAATCGTTCAATCTTTTTTTACAATGTAGCCTAATTAATGATACTTTTTTGGGATAGATTCAGTTAAGGCGATACGAAAACATGATCGAAAAAAGATCTTTGATAAAACGTTTACGCTAAAAGGCATAAATAATATAGCGAATGTTTAGATTGTCTCTATGTTTCGGGATGTAATTTTAGCAATGACCGTCCCTTTTCGCTTGCAGAACAAATCACTATCCGGAGACGATACGACCGCGGACGCTTGCAGAAGTTCGTCGTCGAACTCGTGGTTGAAAAATCGGACATCGCCCACCTCCAGGGCTGGAAGGGGTTCATCTGCAACGGATATGAACGTGCAGCTCGGCAGCGCCGGCTCGCCCACGCTGCGACTTGCTGGCGTAAAGGTGAATTCATACAAGTGATAACAACAAACTCCGCCACGACTGCCCTGTTACATTCGAACGAAGCGAAAATGAATTTGAACCCGTCTATAGTGGCAATTACAGTAACTAACTTTGAAACGCAAAGTTTTATGTATTGCCGACCTAACTATACATATATATATATAACACATGTTTCTTTTAATTAATACCGTTTCTCACTCATTTTGTGTGCGCAAAACGCATATAATTGTATACGTAAAGAAGAACCTAAATCGAATAACGTTAATTACAAAAATTATCTATTATATAAATTAGATTGATTAAATAGATAAATGATCGATAGTTTTAATTCTTACGCTTGCGCTAATGCTCGCATTTCAAGGACAATTTGAATAATTTCAGGCGCCGAACACGATCCCCGGTCTGCGGCCGTCGTTCACGAACGTTCTCGGACCCATAACAAACGAGGATGAGCCGAAGAGCATATCCCAGCAGAGTACACCGAGCAGCGATGAGAGCAACTCACCGACCGAGTTAAACTCGTACAAGAGGCTAACGGACAAGCCGCCGCTGATAAAGCGGCTGGCGATGGGTTTGACAGGTGGACGCGACGTTCTTGGGCTAAACGGTGAGGATGACAGCTGCCCGCTCGTCAGCGGTAGCAGCACGCCGACCAGCCCATCGAACAGGCCCCATTCCGGGGGCTACATAAACGAGGCGATCATCGACTCGGAAGGTACGAGACCGTCCTACAACAAGATTCCGCCGTCCGAAAGCCTCGACAACACCATCAACGCGTCCATCACCGCGAAGAACTTCAACATTGAGAACAACAGGTGAGGCAGCTGGACCCTGTTTCTCCTCTTTTGCCTCTTCCTTCTTCAAAACCAAAATAATCGCGTATGACTTGTGAATGGCAACTCTTTCATCTCTTTTTTTAGGATAGGACACAATTGCCTGGATTCGGGTACGGAGGCAGAATTTAAGTCAAAAAGAAGATCGCAAATTAGCACGTCGAGTAGCTCGGTACCCGCTGACGGAAGCACTCATGGCTCCACGCCAACCCCGCCGCCTTTGCCCGAGAGGACAGACAGCCTGAATAATCGAAGTGAGGAGGCTGAGCTACGCAAGGCGCCCTGGTTTCAAGCTGGAATACCCAGGTTGGTCCGCGCGAGTCATTACTACATATCGGAGTAACGGAGTAACGCACACTCGCGCGCTTCTCAATACGCTAAAATAGCAACGTCGCCTCTAGCTAATTTTAAATATTCGTCGAGTGATTCAGTTCCAATAGCATAACTTACTTTGTAACTATTTGTAACTTAGAAATATGAATCTTATATATAACAAGATAAGTAAATCCGATTGTTTTTCGTAAGAAAAAAAAAGATAAAATTCCGCTCATTTACCATTAAAACAATATGACCGTGATTCTAGAGAGATAACGCTGGAGGTATTGAGCCAAGAGCCGGAAGGGGCATTCATGGTGCGAGAGAGTACCAGTAAGCCCGGATGTTACGCCCTCTCCCTCCGTGTGCCCCGTGAATTTCAACCGAGCGGAATAGCCCATTATCTCATAATGCGTACAAACAAAGGATACAAAATCAAAGTAAGTTTCTCCTCGATACGCACTCTTTGTCGTATCGACAATCAAAATAGTTTTAAACGCAAAGTCTAAAGGAAAGCAAAGACTCTTGCAAGAGTCAAAGTAAATCTTCCTTCGGCAAAGAAAATCGGCATAGATTGTAATTTGATTAACATTTCTTTTTGAGAATAACAGCTACTGATTGCTTTTTAATAAATTCGTAATGTGTGTCCGTACTAATTACGTTTATACACGGAGAAAGTGTTTTTACGTTGTATGAAATTCAATATTGGCTACGCGAGAATAGAACCCTTTTTAACGCTTACAATAATATCTAAGACTGGAAGAGATCGCAAGAGAATTCGTCCGCGTATACGCGGAGTTAATATTGAAATAAGCTATGTGGGGGGTGCTAATGCGCGAAGCTTTTAGTAGCCAGACATTACAGGATACCATGCCGCTATAAAGCTACTAATACATTCGAATATTAAAATGGTCGAACTTCCCCCTCGCGTAGGATAGATTAAATGAGTCCGCAGACTTTGATAATCTCCGAAACCAGTATAAATGAGTTTTGTTGGATGTGCCGTGTGGATGCCGTAGGGAAATCAAAACTCCGCGCTCTCTCTCTCTCTTTACCCTCTCCGTATATAGTAGCGCGGAATTGCATCGCTGTAACAGCGCAGCACCAGATCCAAATGAATGCCGTACGCGATAATTTTGATACACGAAGCTCGCGTCTCAACACACATACGTGTATAATACATTTAATACCGTTTCATTATATGTGACGCTACGCTACATGCGCGTTTTCCTACACGTTCGCAAATGCGAGGAAAGATATCCGTATTAATATCACATTTCATTTTGTCCCAATGAAATCCACAATATATTACAATAATGCATTGTAACATGATAATATGCGTATAATAAATTAAGTAGCATAATATGAATATAATAATAATGAAAATAGTAAATTCCGGTTATATATATCAAATACATACGAAAAGGATTCTTTATTATCTCAAATAAAACTGTAGATCTTTCTTTTCGTTCAACATATTTTTTAACAATAGCTGCAAAAAAACAAAAATATTTCAAACGAAATAGAAAAATTTCGAATCAGTATCGTCGTAATTATATTACGAGAAACAAGAAATATTATAATGTCAATCATTTCATACGTTTCAGGGCTTCACAAAAGAGTTTACGACGCTGACCGCGCTAATCACTCACCATTCGGTCATGCCAGAATTATTGCCATGCCCGTTATCGCTAAGCCGATATAATCCGAGCTTCGTCAAGACTGATTCCAGCAAGGATTTCGCGGATATCGATTCAGACCCCGATTACAATACTCTGGCGGATTTTCGCAAAATGATGGCCGATCTAAATGTCTAGAACGAAGCGTCAAAAACAACGGTTTGGAATATTCGTGCTCCTTTTTTTTTTACAAAAACGTTGGATCATCGAGTCACGTAAACGATTGAAAGGAACGTGAGGCACTATTTGATACATTTGTATCTGGATTAACTTTGTGCCATTGAATGTAAAGAGCCAATGTCGTACTTTCGATTGTCGCGAAAAGATCTTGCCCGGAGTAATCGATATTGGCACACGACACAAAGTACGTATTTAGACGACGCTTAGTTATCGAATCTATGTTCCGAAAAGACTCGCACAACTACCAGTGATACATACTCGTAAGTCATTAATAGGTCATTGATAAGAAATACGTAGAGTAGAGATAATTTAATAACTGCTAGTGTTGTGGACGCGTGCGACTGTGGAATAGTAATGTCAAACAATTTTTTATATATTGCAGCACGCTTAGCGTGAGATATTAGTTTTAAGCTTGTTATAGCAAATGAAACAAAACAATTGTTGTTTGTCGAAAAAAAACTTCAATTGGGATAAATTATTTTCATGAAACAGAGTATCTATCTATTTATATTCAAGCATTCATATTAAGAATAATTATCTTTTCGCAAGTTTTTCTGTGGTAGACTGATTTTCAAAGTAAATTGAGTTTTGTTATCGTTTGGATCCCTAGTTGAAACGATGCCAAATGATCGATTATGATATATTATTGTTATGAAATGCATAATTATTGAGTAATTGATAAAATAAATAATAGCATCAATAAATTACGCTGAAGAAAATAATTTCAAGTTTTAAAAAAGTTTAAACAAATATTACATCAAAGTATCACATTGACAAAAGATTGTATTAAAAATATGTGAGGATTAAATGGAGAAACCGTTATATATAGAAATGGTATTTTCCGAAAGAAAAATCAATAACTCACAGAATAGCATATAATATTCAGATATTTTGTCATCTTCCTCACAATTTTGAAAAACTGCGGTGTCTGAGAGCGATCTAATAACTTTTATTCGACTGAAGCGATTATTTATTATTTCGTAAGATGTAGTCAAATATATATATAGTTATCGTGACACATCATAAACTATATCGACTGTTAATCGCACTTAGAAAAAGCACTGAAAAGGCCAGCTATTCCAACAAGATTGTAAAATAACTAAACGCAATCGCCTCTCTCTATTCGATTAGACTTCATAATTAATCAAACGAGGTCTATTCTTGAGAAACTATGAAAGACACGAGTAATCGTGACATATTTTCTGTACATACTTCGAGGAAAAGACTTAACCACGAAAATCGAACCGTCTAAAAAGTGTTCGAATTTGGGAACAAAATCAAGATAATTGGCCCATTATCAAGTTTAAACGTGTCAAACTTGGATTTTTCCGTTATTATTTAAGCGCGCAATCCGGATGATATATCGCAAACGGAGACTGAAAACGAAAAATAATATCTTCTCGGTCAATATTGAAAATAAAATTAATTATTTCAATTATCAGCTATTTCAATAATCTTTAATATCTTGTGTAAAATAAACTGATGTATGCACGAGAAAAAAGCAAGTTTTCTGTTTTAAATTTTATTTCCTAATCTATGCAACAGATATTAATGTAATATTATTCATTAATTGTGTAAAACAAAGATGCAATTTGAATGAAAGTAATCTTAAAACAAGATTAAAAATATATTGTTTCCTCTTAGTAAAAACAAACAAAATATTTTTCGTTTTTAGTCTTCAATCACAATATTGATGTGTATATGTTGTTTATATGTATATATATTATAATTAGTCTCTTGTTCGATATGTCTACACATATATTTAATTAGTCAAAGAGGAGTAAAAGGCATGAAATCTCATGAAAAATGATTACTAAGAATATATAAAACTTCACCGAAATTTGAATTCGATGAAATACGAAATATGGTAATAGGCAATATATAATTTAGTTTCTCAATTATCCTAGTCTTGTACAGAAATTTCGCGCAGAAATTTCGAAATTAGTTACAACAATGAAAACCATACGCGCGCGCGCGCGATTATGCGTGAATAATTATCACACAATTCACACGATAACCGGATATTATAAATCATGTTTTGTACATCGCAAAATAATTTTCCGTTAATCGCCAAGTATCATTGATATTAGATTCTTGATTATATAAATTATCGAAATTACATCAAAATATTTAAAAACTGCCAATATCATATTTTTCATCAAACCAACAACATTAAATAACGATCGTCATGTATAACAAAAACTACTGGAAAGCAAGGATTGAAGTTGCTATAATTTCGGTGACTTAATTTCAATATTATAAATATAAGAAAATGTAATCATGGCATAAAATTTTTTCGTACTTGTAGCATCAAATATCAAATTTTTCAAAATGATAATTCGATCCTTATACAGACAAAATAGACAAATAAACATGTACATCAGTAACGTATCGATGAAATACATATGTAATGCATTGTGTTAGAAGAAAGCTCAGAAAGATGCATATGATGCATTAAAATCGTATGTATGATATGTATAATAGATTTGTGCGAATATGAATCCCTGTGATTTTCTACTTTTACAATGTGTTTCTGTGTAATGCTTTAATAACGCGAATTGCTAAGTTATTATAATAATGAAAGAAGGAATCTCATAAAAATGTTATTAAAAATTTATCACGTACCAATTACATTTTTTAAAATCATATAAAAATTATGCAAAAGGAATAATATGTCTTATATTTGTTATAATCTTACATGATACAACGTACAAGAATTTTAATAAGCTTTTTGGAATATGAAATTAAAATAAGAGAAAAAAACGAAAGAGAAGTATTTATATTAGAAAACCGATTAAACTGCGTGCTAAAATAATCGGGCAAAGAGCGCAGCATAATCAGCTGTTGTAAGGTACGCTAGGCATGACATTAATCACTGCTTGAGATTTGTAATGTTTTATGAATTTATTATCGCGATGAGTTATATAAAATGTCAAGAGAAATTATTTATTACAATAAATATTATACAAAGAGTATATTTCTTGCCAATATACATAATATCCTATGAGATCTAACAAATACAAAAACTGATGACGTGTAAGTCAATCAGCGATGAGTTGATAAATAAAGCTCAAAATATTATAATATATTTTCAATCGTATCGAGTAAAATGATACATATCGTTTCAATTTTCATGACGTACCACATGCTTTTCCCTTTCTGACACAAACGGTACAGTCCCCTTCTTAGAATGAAAACGCCTATTAGCTTCCCTGCAAGATAAAATATTTTATTAAAATATTACTCAAAAGTTATTTATAAAATTATGTACAACTATGTGTGTATGTGTATGTGTGTATATATATATATGTATATATATATATACTTATATAGTTGTACTTACTTGCGTTTATTTTTCTCACGAATTTTCCGTAATTCGTCTCGCGCATTGTATATGTGTTTCGGCACTTGTCTATGACGTGCAATACGTCGAATTTCAGGATGAATAGCATACTTTTCTTTCAAAGCATCGTTGCAATGCAATGCTAGTTTTTCTCTAGTCTTCAGCTGTTACAAAAAATAGAATAAGGTAAATAATTATTCGTACTTCCAAGAGTCACATGTAAATCCATGGAGTCTGTGATATTTTTACTTACAATGCCGAGTTTTTCTGACGCTTTAGCCTTCCATATACGAAGATTCGTTTCATCGCTGCCGCTTATTATGTATTTATTATCAAGTGACCATCCTACGCAGGTAAGCCTATGCATGCGTTTTGTGTGGTACACTTCTCGCGAGTGACCTTTATTGACCTCGAAAATACGGATGGACTTGTCGTAACTACCTGAAACAAATTCTCTTCCTGTCGGCGAATAATCTACATCTATCACGGCCTCCACGTGATCCATATGTACATTAATCGGCGTTTTCAATTTCCGGATATCGTAGGTATACAAACTGAAAAAAAATGTATTTAAGATTTCTGCAAAAATTGAGCGCAAAAACGAAGCTATCATTATCATAATTTATTATCTCACTTGTAATCTTCGTTAGCGCATGTGAAAATGAAAGCTTCCATGGGATTCCAAGAAAGTTTGTTGCTTCGTAATTTCATTACTATTCTTGTTAACGGTCCTGTCTCTCTAGTATCATATAAAATTATGCTGCGATCGCTCGCACAGGAGGCTGAAAACAATTTGCTTTAAGAGAAATTTAATTCGGAATTTGAGTAGCACAATTTTGTATGCAGAGTACTAGAAAAAAATATGTATATAATAAAAAAGTATAGTAAAATCTCAGTATATATAATATACACTATACCTAAAAGATCTTTTTGCACTGGATTGAATTTTACATCATGTAAACTATCTACTCCCCATTTAAATGTGCGTAGTGGTTCATTACGAGTTTCTTCCCACATATGACATAATCCTTCTCCACAGGTGACAAATACAGGTTTAGTCCGATGATGAGTTATATTAGTTAATACTGTCTAAAAATAAAAATCTGCTTAAAACTTTCAAGTACTTTTAAGCTTAAATAATCTTAAAAAAGGAAAATATATATATATATACATACTTTGCTAACAATAGTATTTATTGGTTCTTCTTCTTCCTTAGCAGAAACAGCATCCCATGTCTTAATTGTTTTGTCATCTCCAATAGTAATAAAATGGTTTCCATTAGGCACATATGTAATGGCACGAATTATGCCATCATGAGCTAGTAATGTGCGTGTGCAGATTCCTTGAGCAAGATTCCACATTCTTACTTCACCGTCGTAAGCACCACTCAATAGAGTAGATAATTGAGAAGGATGTTTACATATGCAAGATATTGCATCCTTATGACCTTCTAAATTGCCTATAAATGGTTTTGCAAATATTCTCTCGAGTTTAACGGCATTCAATGCTTTTGTGTATTCTCTTGGAGCTACAAAAGGATGTAAAGATGGATCGAAATTTCTCGGAACTGTAAATAATAAAACAATTTTTAATCAGCTGTAGAGAGATTTTAATAGGTTAGATTAGCTTTGCAATCTTTATATAGATTTACTTTTATGAATATCTCGTTTAGTCTCTCGTAAGTACTCATCAGGATTCCTTGTTAACATTTTAACTTTCATCTTAAAAATGATTACGTGCACTTCTTTACCGAAATAAATGAAACTATACGAGAATATTTAAATTATTTACACACGTGCCATCATAGACATAGTATATCTAGACCGAGCGTTTGCCTTTATTTAAGGAGTGGGGGCCGATGCCCATGTAGAAAAGGACATACTCTGTTTCGTGCCACTTGCGTTCTCTCTCGTTCGCACAGAGCATAGCGCTCTCTTTCGTCATGCTACGTGCGAGCGAGAGAGAACGCAAGGGGCACGAAACAGAGTATGTCCTTTTCTACGTGGGCATCGGCCCCCACTCCTCAACACTCGGTCTAGATATACTATGTCTATGCGTGCCATCAAACATTCAATACACCGTATGACCGAAAACAGAGAAGTGTACGGTGTACGTACGAGAATGTAAGGTTATTTAAAGGAAGGTTAAGTCATAATCCTGGGCCACCCATAATGCAATGCAAAGAATCGATGTGTGCGCAGTCGCTATTAAAAAGAGATGCTAAATAAGTTAGATTGTTATTGGCTCTCGCGGCCTTTTGCAATGCATCCTGGGTTGCTCATTGGTATACGCATAGTATCAATAGTATGACTTAGGGCCACCGCACAAGCTTTTCCGTAATGCATTACGTTACGTTAAGTACTGATTCTAAACCTAAACTCGCACGTAATCTTAAACTTCAGTCAACGCACAGAGAAAATCGTAACGTAACAAAAGCATACTACGTTACGATTTTGTTTGTAGAAACGTAAGCTACGCTGAAAATTCCGTATGGTTGAAATTCTTAAGTCTTAAGTCTTACTGCTTAAGTTTTTCTATGTGCCACGGCCCTTACATGGCAGCATCGAGCATCGATCGTCTGCGCAGATATCATTGCGCAGGAATCTAAATGAGATAGATTCCAGCTTCTTGCGGCTAATAGCATGATGAGTGATATGAATTCGGTCGAGATAAAAAAATTATGTTCTGATACACATTACTAATACTGAAAATTGATATTTATTTACATTATACACAATAGATATTATTATTATTAAACAAAATAT